CTCTAAATGTAATCAATGTTCGCTCTCAGATCATCTGTTGTATGCTAAACCAACAAACCACGCATGTCAATTATGATACACCAAGGACTTAAAAACAAAGTACTAAGAATACACGGTGGAGAAGACAAATCTATGTTTTTGCATGCCTATTCCAAATAAATGAATATTCATCGCATGTTTTGCAAACGATCCGTCTTTGCGCATAAAACCACGCTAAACAGAAGCAAGGTCGGCGATTTTTTAGACGTTCTTGGCATAAACCAGCAGAAGCACTTCTATGCATATAAATACAATGTACACGCCCTTGAAAACTGCAGAGCTAGAAGAGGGAAACCTATCACTATCCTATATATATTGAATAATTAATCATTTTAAAACCTGAATTGCTTTTAATTTTAAAAAGTCTTAAAGTTTTCAACATCCTAACAGTTTTATTTTCCGATTACATGCAAGTGTTATACGTATAAAACTAAACTAAATTAAAACATACCTCGTCTTTCAGTTGAAATAAATAGTGTGTTTTTCAATCCACTACATGTTTCGCCATTTTGGCATTTTCAAGTGGTACACAGAAACATTGAAACATTATAATATCCAAATTGTACTCGTCAAGTTGTAGAAATTTACATTTAAACATAAAACTGTATATATATTTGACACGTACGAACAAAACATTTTTATGTAGGCCTACAACACTTATTGCAACCTGATCACGGCACTGATAAAACTACTTATACAAACTATTTTACTTATCTATTTGGCAGTGAAAACTTATTATTACGTCATTATATTATCATTTACAACTATATTACGATATAATAAAAAAAAACAGTTATCTACAGGTACCATCTGCAGCAGCTTGATTAAGGGGTTTGAAACAAATGTATATAGTAAATGAATATAGTATATAGTATGTATATGTAAATGAATAACTAGTTTAAGAATGAACACCCGAAGACCAAGATTTGACAATCTGCAGTGACCGTGGAAGCTTATCATCTAGATTATTTTTATCTAGTTATATTTCCGACGATGTTAGATTTAAATCCGTCTGTTATTTGTAAAAAACCCGTTTGGAACTACATTTATATTGTATATATTAAGACCCAAATTAGTTTTATCATCGTGTCTTATTTTATATTTCTCTTCTGTATGTGCAGTTGTGTGAATAAAAAAAATAGAATTCTTTATATTTCATGAACGAATATCTCATATTCGAATATTCATGGATGAATATCTGTGTTGGCAGCGTAACAAATGTAATGTCTTTTGTACTAATGCAGTTATTAACTACTATAAAAATTTGTACAGCGATACATGTTTGTATACTGATATAATTACAGAGGTTTCATCATTTTTTAGTTAATTTCAGAAGGTAAATCAAGTGTGAATCATACTTGTGTGTTTTAGTATCGTTACTTTACGAAAAAGAATCCCGACCCGGGTTGGAAATCCAATACGACGAAAAATATAGTAGTCCATCACACGGGCCTCTCTTTACAACACTCGCTTGGTTTTCAAATAAAGCTTTGCCTTGTTCATTAAAATGTAGAGCAATTTAATGTGCTATTATGATATGATTAACCGGTATTTGTCGATTATCATACTTTAAGATAATTTCATAAGCCACTTCAGCATTTTAAAATGTCTAAAATCTACTAAGACAATATTTTTACGAATATTTCTATGAAATTGATATTTTTATAAAAATATAAAACTAAAGACATATATGAATAGACAAGCCAGTTCTATATGAACATGCATATTTTCTCCTTACTTCCAACGAAATTTCTAGCTATTTGTAGTAATTTTCTATTTGTCTATCAATAGAAACTATTTACTGCATTTGTAATCAATTTCAAACTAATTTATACCTTTAAAGACATCTTGAACTTATCTGAGGGCTTGAGGCAAAAAAAAAAAAAACAAAAAAAAGGTTATGCTAGTAGGAAAAAATCCAAATTATTTATTGTAATTTATCCATGCAAAGAATTGAAGTTTATTATGAGGGTTTTCATAGTTGCATAAATCGCTTGAAAAATGTTATGTAAGCCTATGCTACATATGTATAAGCTTCAAGTTAATGTTTTATATTTTTTTTTATTTGATGGACAATTTAATCACATATTTGGTTTCCTTTACTGATACGAAAATATTTCTGATATAAAAAAAAGAAATTAAATGAGGTATCTGAAGATGATGGCTTGTCAAGTGTGTTAAAGAAAATGTAATGTTTTATTGAACACGTTTCTTGAATGTAATCGATGAATATGGACTCTTTCATGTATTCATTAAAGGATATTAAATGAATTTTTAAAATGATATGGCATAAATATTCTGCACATTAAAATTATCAATACACCTAACAAAAGTATTATATATAAATTTATGCTTTTAATACAAATAAAAGGAACTTGAATATTCATACACCTGTTATATTACTTGTTCATATCCATCATTTAGCAATATTACATTGAAAAGGTTGGTAATACACTACATAATTGATCTTCCAATTTAACTATAAAATCGCTGTGAACAACGTAATACATCATAATGACTTAGGTTATTTACTATGGTCGTCTAGCAATACACTGATTATTTTTCTTTGTTTGACCTTTGAACAAGTATATTTCTATATGTCAGTTTTACTCTATGTCGTCTAGCTATACCTAAATAATTACTGCTTTTTATTTAGTCTATATTGTAAATAAATAAATAAAACATGCTTGTATTTCTAAATTTCCAATCGCTAATTGGCTGATGGAGATAGGCCTTGACAATACAGAGTCGCTTATCAGCCCAGAATATCTCGTTTAGACCTAACCATCTGATAACTGGACTATCTATTGTACTTTCTACAGCACTCTTTACTGGACGGAATCCACGCCTCAGTAAAAAATTTGGTTTGAAAGAAAAAAGTTATGCTTTAATCGGATGTATTGCAAACAATGTGCACCCCTTGTTATTGATTGCACGTTGCATATGGTTTTTTAGGTTATTTTATAACTGTTATAGTATTAATTGTATAGTGTTATTTTACCAAGTTATTGTTAGTTCTTTTTTTTTATGTGTATTGTGAAGTGCGAAGAACTTTTATTTTGACAGCAGACAGCTAAGGACTCTATCACGCACAGGTCATTGTGACCCATGTGATATTCTTATTTTTTGTATTTATTGCTGCAAAACAGTGTGTAATAAATAAAGAATTTTCTCTTTCCCTCTCTCTCTCTCTTAATCTGATAAATAATTAGGCCATATAGCACAAAATATAGCCGAATCAAGCATTAGAGTAAAATTTTAAACTATACTTCAGATTTAGGTCCAATCAGGATTTTGTATGAAATATATTTAGTTAAATGCATTCGTTCACAAGCTAATAAAGTAAGCCATTTGAAATCCGGAAATAAACTATTACCGTAAATCTCATGGTAAGACTTGGAGCTTGGACGGATTTACTATTTCGTTTCGATGTTCCTAGACAATATCATCACCCGTCATATGTATATAGATAGCTAAAGTAAAAATGATCTTATTTTTAATTAAATTTGTCACAAATGTGTAGACCAACAACTATTATAACGAGGTTTTGCGAATATTGTGTTGAGACTATGTAAAATAGGTCGAGGGGGTGGGGGTTACGGGGTATAAATTTGTTTTTCCCAATTTGTGAGTTCCAAAACATTTTTAATTTCTCTACAAATCATTTTTAGATAAAAGAAAAGCTAAAAAACTAATAATGTAGTATATTAAAGAGTGATGCCTTATCACTACGGAGAAAATACCGTACAACTATAAATTTAAAATTCCCGTGTTATTCCTATGGAAAATACGTAAAATATTGTATGCAGTTTTCTTTATACGTATATATTCTGATCAAATTTGCTAAACTTAGTCATTATTCATCCTAAGCTATTGACATTTCACTTAAAACCCTCCTTATTACCTTCTCTGTAGCAGAAAACCTATGTAATCGTTTTACCTAATGCTATTTAAATAGGGAATTGATCTAAAACATTTAGGTAAAAATCCAATCAGGCTAATGGAAATTTGCTCAATCTGCCGGTTTGCTGCAGCGGGGGTATTAATTTCCAATGTCATAAACTGGTAAATGTTTTACTTGTTTCTACTTTAGATAGTTAATTTTGTCTCCTGAATTGCTTAACAATATTTACAAATGTACTCTTTGTAACAAGAAACCATCAAAAAGTATACTGACCAAAATAATTTTTTGTATAATTTAAAGTCTATATCTAACTTAGGTAGCAGGTAGATGCGTGTTAACATATATTTTCAGTGAAGGAAGGAAACTGCTCAAACATCCCTTGAGCAATGTTACTAATTACAAGTTAGAGTCATTTGAAACGTGTTTTATTGGATCAAAGGAGATGGAGTTAACACTTAAATTGTGTGTAATGGTTTTCCCTAATGATTTTCATACTTTTATAAAGAAGGTAACTGTAAAGTTTTCCAATGCCGTGCCACTGTGATTTGTTTTATATTTTCCTCGTTCTCAACTTTCTAAAGTTATACAACTTAAAGATACGTTTTTGATCATTATTGTATTCAACTCGCATGTCTTTATTTCTATGCACCGTAATATGGGTTTAATTTTATTAGTTAGTAATTTGTAAGTTAGCTTAACAATGTATTTTGATACCTGAGAGGATAAAGTGCCTTGTGGACAATGAAATTCGAATATATAACAACTAAAGTTATAAGATTAAATTATGGTAAATTACGGTTTTTGATAAACTTCGTACCCTGACTTCATCCAATAAAATAAGAAAACTTAATTAATTGTAAAATATATCTTGAACCTTGTTATTTAAAATGTCTTAGCGTGAAGTAAGTTTATGCAAAATCCCTTACCTCACAATATGTTTTGTTAAATATGTGTTTGAATTAAAAATTTAAAAAAATAACCTTCGTTAAGGAAAAGTTTTAAACTTGAGTTGATAAAATAGTTTACCACGTGTTGTCAACAGTGCAAAACCACCTACCTGAAAATAATTTATCTGACACCATTTTTACTTTTAAATATTTTAGACGGTTCACAAGTCACAGCGTAACTGACGCTCAACACGCACGTAGTGTCAATGTAAGACACGGCAGCGTGGCAGTCGCACTGGCGGCACGACGGAGACTAACGTGCGCCGCGCCGCCCACAACTGAGTCGCCCGCCGCGCCGCCGCCCACCACTTGCCGCTCACCGCTCACCGCGCCACCCTGTCACTCGCAGCTGATCCCACACATAAAACTTGATAAGGTTGCAAATTACGGAAATCGGATTAGGAATCAGCAAAATCGTCGACCTAAGCTTCGATGTAATTATAAAATCATTAGAGGAAATATCTCCCTTAATCGCTCGGTAAATTGTGAGCAAAAGTTAGAAATCTGTTAACTTAGTTTGTGATTAAATGCGTATTTTGGGAACCTGTAAAATCATGATTCCATGCAACAAGAACTTAAATTAAGTGTATCTAATACGCTAATACCAAATAAGGCGTCACTCAACATACCATATTTATTTTTTGCTTAAACTTTAAAAAAAAAAATTGAGTCTCCGAAATAAAGAAATATGTTTGTTTATATTTACCTAAGTATAGCATATGTAGTTCATACTGACATGAATGGCAATCTTTATAAACAATCGAGGCGTTTTCAAGCCTAAATCAAAATGAAGTTATTCAAACCTAAAAGAAGAAAGTTGAAAAAAGTCATTCAAACAACTATTTTTCCAGTTCTTTTAAAGTGGTTATTAGCCACAATACCTTTCAATCATACAATATAATTTTAAGAACTTAAGTAAATTTGAATATGCTCATCCTAATACATAGGTATAACCTCTTTCTCAAATCATCAATCTCTTGTAAATGGAAATGAAATTTTTTAAACATTGGCATATTTTAAACTGCAAATTTCTGTCGAATCTGTCGTCCTACATTTGTCGCTTGGTTGCAAATCTAGGACGTCAGATGGGACAACAATGTACAGTTTAAAATATGCCAATGTTAAACTATAGCTTGCTTATAATTAAAAGATTTTTGAAATGATGTATAATAAAATCATTTATCATTTAAATTTCAGATAGGGAAAACATTTAAATTTATACCATTATATAACAATGTGGCCTTGTATGACGCCCACATACAAGTGTAAGTGCATTATAACTTGACACTGTTTAATGTGGTTTCACCTCATATGACTAATTAATATAATAAATAAAAAGTATGTTGGTGAACCAAATTAGTTTTAATAACGAGGAAAATGTTAATACATATAATGATGGATATTTGTAAGTTCTGAAAATAATAATTATATAATATATGATAATAATATAAAGTTAAAATTGTTTTGATTGGATTTGACTGTAATTTAGCATGATGGTAGCTCATATTTCCCATTAACATTTGTATCACAAAAATCATTTTGGGCGTTTTTGAGTTTCCCATGTATACCTTATGATGGGTTCATTGATGGTGTGCTTTTTGTGATTAGGCCTTAATTTTTTAATTGCATCATGCAATAATGGCTAGCTTAGCTAATCTTACCAAGGTTATTGCAACAAACATTGAGAATCTTATTGAAGAAACCAACCCCAATTCGATAATGCGTATATAAATGAAAACTAACTTAATGTTTTTAATCTGTAACATTATGGACTTATAGGTTGTCGTGATAGTTACTAATTTAAAACGTAAATGTAAACCAAGAATCATATTATATGTTTATAAATAAGCCAATATACGACCTAAATACAGTAAAAAGGAAAACGACATTCGGGTGAAGACCTTTTTGTCACACAATACAAAGTACTTTTCTTCAACATTTAAATGGCATTCCGCTTAGCTTAAATTAAAGCAATGACGTTCTAGAAAAAAAATTAATTATGCCTTAATCAGGCTTGATTGTAACTACCGTTAAAATGTACCCAATTCACTAGCGTATTATGTTGCAGTTTCAATAAATAACAAGCCAATGCGTTTCGATATAGATTACGGAGTAGGATTAGGAAAAAATGCAGAAAAGGCATTTAATTAAAAGCGCTCGCGCCAAAATGTACATAACCCTGTAATCCACTAGGAGAATTTTTTGGACTACAAGGCGACAATCAGTTATTTGTATTTACCATTTATTTGCATTTAATGAGTTCGATCTCAATGTAAAACGTAAACGAATCCACCTTAAATGAACTTCAATAGATAGGGATTATTCTGAGACTAATGAATATATCTTGACATTCAGAATACCTCTTACCTAGATAAACCTAGATTTGTCAACCAACTGCCAGGACTAAAAACACGAGCACAATTATTTTATATTGTTAAACCTTTTAAATGTTGGTTATGCTACGTCGAAAGATTTAATTTATAAAGTGATAACCTGGGAAAGTTTTGTAAATATGAGATTTTTACTGATAGGCCCTCAGTTGTAATCAACGGAAACGAGAATATATACCCTTTGAGACTAGAGATAATATAAAACATTGAAACCATAACCGAATCGAGAAGACAGGTAGAGTATTAGGAAGCAGTTTCGATCCTGAAATGACTTACAGGTTCAACACTACACTCTTGAAGAGAAGCAAAGCTCTTGAACAGCCAAGGATTGGAAAAAGGATGTAAAAAAAAAAATATATATATATATATATAATGATATTGACTGTACATTATAAAATCTTATGATGTTGTAACATATATACAGGGTGTTTTTTTAAAAACTTGCATCTTTATTTATGTAAAAACCGCAATAGATAGAAATATGCAGTTTGCGGGAATCATCTATTGAAGTAGGGGGCCCAATTGTTTTGAATTCAACGTTATATTCACATTCCCCCCCTTTCCCCCCTGCCCCCAACTTATTTTTTTTAAATAGCAAGGTACCCCTTGTGACATATCAAATGAAAGAGCATGAAAAAAGAAAATGTTTGATGAAAAAAAATTAAAAATCGGTTCATAAATTTGCGAGATATTTCCCCCCCCCTTCCCCGGAACTTGATTATTTTTTTAATAGCAAAGTACCCCTTGTGACATATCAAATGAAAGAGCATGAAAAAAGAAAATTTTTGGTGGAAAAAAATTTAAAATCGGCTCATGAATTTGTGAGATAATCCCCCCCTTTTTCCCCTACCCATAACTTGTTTTTAATAGCAAGGTACCCGCCCTTGTGACATATCAAATGAAAAATAAATTTCACCAAAAATTTTCTTTTTTCATGCTCTTTCATTTGATATGTCACAAGGGGTACTTCGCTATTAAAAAAAAATCAAGTTCCGGGGAAGGGGGGGGGAGAATATCTCGCCAATTTATGAACCGATTTTTAATTTTTTTCATCAAACATTTTCTTTTTTTATTTTCTTTCATTTGATATGTCACAAGCGGTACCTTGCTATTTAAAAAAAATAAGTTGGGGGCAGGGGGGGAAAGGGGGGGAATGTGAATGTAACGTTTAATTCAAAACAATTGGGCCCCCTACGTCAATAGATGATTCCCGCAAACTGCATATTTCTATCTATTGCGGTTTTTACATAAATAAAGATGCAAGTTTTTAAAAAAACACCCTGTATATAGGATATGTGTTTCAAAACTAGCGTGAATAACCTTTTTTGATTGCTATATTTTACGAGCTAATGACTCTATCAAACTTAGAGTGAATTTAGAAGATTATTCAAGGTTGGAGTATTCAAATATTAAATATATACATATTTTGTAAAAAATATCATTGTACACATGAAAAGAACCACTTAACTTATAGTATTTTCCGTTTGATCCGTGTAAATATTAACATAATTTTAAAATGTTTAGCTACGGTTAAGAAGGCAATTTTGAAACAAAGTAGCAGTCATAAACAATAAGGAATTTGTTTTAGAGTCAGGAAGTGATAAAAACTATTCAGTTTATTAGAAGGATAGGGGTGAACCTCTAATGTTTGATGATATCTCAATAATTTTGTAGATTTTCACTTACTCTCTTTTAACTAACCTGCACGTTATATTGAAAGTGCTGAGAATATTTTTAAGTCCAAGTTTGTATCGCTATAAGACCAATCAGAAAAACTGTCAGCATTTTTTGAATTAATAGACGACTCTGTAATCTCTATTGCGAAGATCAACATACCTATTTTGACTCTTTATTAGTGAAAAATATAGTTTTTCGTCATATTGAAGCAAAAACAGCCGTTTTTAATACATGCGTTGTGGGTCTAAAGTATTATTTTTACTTTCTAGCGAGTAAAACTCATTTTTAGTCTCTAGGGAGTAAAAATCAGCTGTTTTAAACAGTTGTAAAAATTTGAATGTGGCAATCGTATTGATCGAAATTATATATCGATTGATTTATCAGGTAAGCTTTTAGCTTATTGTTGTCGGTCGCTCGAAATATCGATGATATAATGTACTGTAACACGAAATACATGAACCACTAACTAAACAGCTGCTTATCAGAATTGAAAACAAACTGGAAGTCCTTTTGAAAGGTGTTTTTTACACAAAAATTATTTTTTCTAGCTTTTTTTGTTAATTAATGGTGCAATATGACTAAAAATATAGTTCACCACACGGGCAAAAAGGGACTTAACCCTCGCTCATTTTTCGACCTGGGCTTCGCCTCGATCGTAACACTTTACCTCAGGTCACTTTAGACCCTAGTGATAAAATATACTATTTTTTTCATCGCCTGTGTTTATATAGATAAAATAAGATAAATCCTTTAATGAGCTCTTTCAACCGGCCAATCTACTCTTAAAGAGACACTCTTATTATTTCACCAAAACATAAAAACATATTATTCTTCACACTAAAGTAGATTCAGACAATTCTGATTAAACCTTAATGCTATGTAAATAAGTTTTGAAATACAAATAATACATGTTTTACAACTAGTTCGTCGTTTCCAGGGAGTAAATCTTATTAAAAGTGTGGAAGCTAATTTGTCAAAGAGCAAAACATGCACTAAAAGTGATGTCAATTGTGCAGCGTGGGCGTGGATGCCTTCATGTTAGGTAACAGCTCTTTGCATCTTAATGACTTTCTGTCACTCGCTCTGTCAAAGCACTTCAGTCTCAACAACGTCGAGAGACAAGCTATAACTGTCGCTCAGCA